GTGAGCAACAAGTCAAGTAAGCGTTTGCATGCTCGATGGGTTTCTGAGGAAGGCTTTTGAGAATATTTTCTTTACAATTCTCGCATTGGGATTCGAGGTGCCTCTCCGCGTATCCATCCATCCGTCCAACCGAGTCTTCGTGTGACGCAACAATACTTCGTCAGGGCGATCTCCGGACTCCTTCCCAGGAAAACGCTCCCCTAGCTCCAAGCCGATCTTCATTCGTAGCCAGTGATCCATGCTGTGAAAGGATTCCGAATGCCTTCAATCCACAGATAAAACAACCGGGGAGCATTCAAGCGGCGTTCAGAGTTTCGCTGGTGTTCGGAGTAGCTCAAGAAGTAGCCGAGAGAAAGCACTGAGAGCTTCCTCCTGATCCGGTTCTGAAAATACAGAAGATCCATGGAGAGGATCATTTGTGTTGAATATCGTTCCGGACCATGCTTCACGGTGTCGAGAGAGATTATGTGAAAACACGGGAGCTGAGGGTACGACAGTCGGCTTCGATTACGATGATTCCGGATTTTCTGAAAGGATTGCCACCGCACCTACTGGAAACCAGGACCTTCGAATTTATTCTTTCGAATCACCGTTGAAGTTAGAGTGGATAGAGGAGACGCCTACATCAGTGACGCCCTTTGGAAAGAGCTTCCTGCTTCCCATTATTCCAAGTACGATTCCTTGATCGACTCCCTTAAGCTTTTCGTCAAATGTGAGTGCTGGGAAGGGTCCTCATGAAACGCGCGATTTCAACTGCTTGGCGGCTTTCTAGCCAAGAATAGATGAGTGAGGTTATTCCCATTAGCTCTGCCATGCGAGGGGAGGTCCGAGAGAGCCGAAGTCGCTACTTCTCTGCGGCTCGTAGGTGATCGATTCCGGGGTCGCTGTGAAGAGATTCTTCCGCCGAAGTGCAATGAGATTTTTTCCTGATGGTCTCCAAACGATGGAAAGGTCCCGGAGGTGGAACCAAGAAAACATTGGCTCCCGTATATTCATTTTAAGTCATCTCCATGAGAACAAAGTACCGCCTCTGGCAACTACTCCTCCGGCGGCGGTTATCGTGCGATAAGTTGATTAATTCGCCTTTCAATTACCATCCAAGCAATTCTATTGTTCTCTTCGATTTTCCAAACGACGTTGTGAGCATCATGTGCACTGCTCCGATCGAGAGAAACCCACCGGACTCCCTCGTTGTTGACGCCGCGCTGTTCCCATCGGCAATTTTCCCTATGCTTTGTAGCCTCGGATCTCGAGGAAATCATCTCAATTGTCGCCGCTCTCCCCGCTGCTGCCACTGACGTTGTTGCAGTTGTCGCGGGTGAAGCAGTCGTCGTCCTCGTCGTTATTGTCGGAGCCGATGTCGTCGCACATTAAACACCTGGTCAAACGGAGTGACAGACAGACATCAGTCGGGGAGTTCGTTCATCCGTCTGTCAGTCGCCCATTCGATGACGTCGGAGAAGAATATACGAGGGTCCCCACGTCACGGAAAGAGCGCGTTAGCCGTCGATGGCGACGAGTTCGACCTCCCTGCCTTGTTGATACACTGACCAGAAAATTTCTCGATGGAAGCAAAAAGACTGATGCTCGAAAGAATAAAATGCATGCTCCTCGAGCTCCGGTCTGGTTTTCCATTGACTGATCCGGTTTTCCGGTTGCGATCAGAGATCCCGAAAGGGGATTCTGAGTTCGAAGCGAGCGGAAGCGGGTGCAGCTCATGAGAAAGTAGACAATAATTATTGATGTGAGATCTTGATTCGGCACTGTTGAAGATTCTTTCCGGAAAAATGGATGAGATCGACATGAGAAACATGAGAAAGACGAAACAAGCGAGAATTACGGCGGAATGAGTCTGAGGGAGTCTTCTCGGTCCGACGGTCACAAAAATATTCGGGAAAAATAATGACGGAGCACAGAGAGAAGATGATGGCGATAAGAAAGAGCAACAACTAGCTAAGAAAATCGAAAGTAAGCCGCCCGCTGACGATCCCTAACGGAGTCGGTAATCGTGGACTTGTCTCGCTATCTATCATCAATCCATCCATCTATCTTCCTATTGATCCTCAGCTCGGAGGGTGCCCCACTCCAGGAATTTCTCGGATACTCGTGTCGATTGATTGAATTACAACCGACTCGCATTCCGATGGGCACCGTCACTCGATATTGGGTAATTCAAGCTTCGCTCCCCTCTCATTCTTGAACCGCAGGGTCTTCTGAAAGGGAATCTGAAGGAATAATAATGTGGGACAACAAAAACAGATGAGAAAGAGACCTCGCATAAGATGCTGTTGAAGGAGTGAATGCGAAACTGTTTATTTTGATGAGGACCCCGGCTCGATGCCAATTTCAAGGAGGAGATCGTACGGGCAACTTCTCCGGAAAAAGCTCTTCCGACGCGGGATTCACGGCGAAAACTTGCGAAACAAGAAGGTGATGGAGGAAAAAGTGAGGAAATACGAAAAGAAAGTTACGCTATGTGATCATGCAACACGGTTCTCTTCCCGTGAATAGGGGCAATACGTACAGTTCCCACATTGGAACAAATATTTGGGTAGGCGAATGTCTCCGGGAAGAAGCTCAACGGGAGTGAAGGGCTCTCTCTCTACGAAATCTTCCTCCTTGTCAAGTGTCCCTCTGGATTATTGCAATAATTCCATCGTTAGGTCCACGTTAGCTTTCGAGGAGGCTGGGAACCTCCCTCGTCAGCGAGAATGTTGACAGTAATCGTCACGTACGGATAAGGTGATGCTGAGTATGCCAAGTCCGAGACTCGATTCCCGCAAATATCTGCCGCTTAGCATAGCTCGAGACGTGTCTCTCTGTCGTGGACTGGAGCGTGGGACTCCAAGAGCAGCGGTCTCCCTTTCGTAAGGGTGATGAAATGTTCCGTAGCGTGTCTCTTGCGACGTCACAAATTTCCGGGAGGAGTCCAGTGGGGAGATTCTCTCCACACCTAATCCATCGCTCCTTCCTCGATTATCACTCAATGCCATCTGGCGATTCTCGAATTTTCTCAAGATCATAGGCTATTGAGCTCATGGTTAACTTTCCCGAGTGTGGCCCGCGAACGAATCATCTTTACGGGCGCCATGCATCGCGCTGAACACGCGCTCCTCGGAAACACGAGCTATTCGTGGGTAAGATGCTCATCCGCTTAATCAGCGAAAGCTTTGATGATTCCCAATGACTCTCTTCTGCGCGCTCGGCCACATTGTCCGTTGTGGACTGAGTTTTTGACGCAATCTCGAACGACAACTGGTGTCATCCCAAACCGAGACTCCGCTCTCTGAGAAAACAGCTAACGAGGGCCAATCAGGGAAACGAATCAGAGTGCTCAGAGATCTCCCCGAGATGCTCGGCAATATCATCTTTCCTTCCCATGGCGGAGAGAGGGGGAGACATTCTCCGACATTCGGATTGCTCAGGGTCCGGGCTAAGTAGCTGTGAAATCTAGAATCGATTGTTTGGGGCAATCGGCCAGGCGAGTGTTCCGATAAGCTAAGTTGATGCTCGAAGAAAGAATTCCCATTTGCGCCCCCCTCCCCTATCCCTCCCCCCCCAAATTCCTCCAACGGGAAACGCAGGACGATGAGGCGAACGGCTAAGTATGAGGAAAAGCGTCCAATCAATCCCCTGACGTTCGTCACGCTTTCGGCGTCTATGGGTGAGATATTCTTGCGGAATCATTGCCGTGAATAGAACACGGAGCGAAAACGAAGATTCACGCTCGGACGGGAAAGGACAGAGAACGTGGATGCGTGTCACCTCATGGGATTTTATGGCGCCCATTGTTCCAATGATTGTCGTTAGTCAATTCGGGTATCATTTATCCTCTATCTGTTTCTCAACGAGTGCAAAAGACCTGACAGCGGGTTTCGGCCGAACAGCGAAAGAGAAGTGTCGGGGTTATTGTAGCGACAGCCGGTGCAGCGACGAAGACGTTTCGAGCTTTTTGTTATGCCTCGGAGCGTTGGCGCTCGGACGCTCGGCCGCCTGGTTCGGTCGATCGGTGTTTGGGGACTGTGACACTGACGATGCTTTCGGGACCGCTTAGAAGAGTCGAATGCTTCCTATATCATTCAGATACACCGAGGCACAGGAGTTCGAAGTGTTTCTCGACAACTGCCGCTCATCAGGCGTCTGCAAGCGAGAATTTGATGACATCCACCATAATGAGGCCGCGAAATCAATTTTTTTCTTCTACCGGAAGAAGCAAGCGACCTACGACTCATGGGGAAAATAATTCAAATCGCATTCGCGTCTTCTCGATAGAGACGGGTGAAGATGGTTATTGATTGCGTTTGGAGTGAGAAAATACGGAATGATGTAATCATGCTGTGAGTGGGAGTCCTGGCGACGAAAATCTCGACTGACTTAGCAGGAGGGGCGTACCAAAATAGGCGAACATTTCCAGAGCGCCCTCATGTCTGCGAGGCGCTAAGAGAATAAATTTACCGGGACCATTGTTCGGAGCTCTGTCTCCCTCCCGTCGCGAGGTCTCTACTCCTCCTGATCCTTTCTCTACTAGATTTCTCTGTGTATTTGGCTCTGACATGCTCCTGGTGCTCCTCGAATTCGATTCAAAGCGATCCGACTCCGGGTGAGCGGTCCTCGAATACATGCTTATATCAAGGAGCCGCATTCGGTGTCAAATCAAGTGAAGAGATATCCCTTGCAATCAATGAAATGAGCATACCGCAAATTCGTTCGACTCGAAGATCGCTTGGAAGTGATATAGACATTTATAATGGTAGAACGCTCCATAATATGATGATTGCAGTCAAGAGAATGTCGAAGTCTGCGATATGCTGATACGTGTTACGTGATGTCGGCTCGAATTGTCGTTTCGTGCTCCGAAACTTCTTCATAATGGAACGATGCTGTCGACACATCCTAGAGGGAACGGATCAGTCGGAATCAATTTCTTCCCGTATCCAAATGATCTTTTTCGGAATGATATCTTCATAGCATGTAGAATAATCCAGTTTCCGTTTTTTCAGAGGGTGTAAGGTGGATCAAGTGCTCTGATCTGTCAACCCAACCAGGATTCCAAGGATACAGGACGCAGAGAACCAGATGCATCGACGGTTGAAAATGGTAGGTCCCCTTGCCTGAAAGCAGTTCTAATTTCCCTGGACGTAAAGATCAGATCGGTGACGTTCTTCGTCCGAGACTGAATAAGCCTGAAGTAGAGCATAGTGATATCCATGCGGGATTCCATCTGGATCCTGAGGTCAGATCATCGAATGATCTTTCGGAAGTGATTAATCATATTCTGAAGCATCTGATCCTCCGAGTTTGCTGATCGATGTAGCACTTATCCGCTGAAGCAGGGAGACTCTAATTCGATATTTGAATGATATCTCGATGGGGTCATCTGGAGAAATTTCTTTATGACACGTCGTGGTGAGGCGGCTTTTTTCGAAAGCCCAATTTGCGGCAGAACTCGCAGGGCGGCCAGATTTAAGCGGACAGACCCGTATCACCGTCGTTGATCTTCACGCGGTCGGACGATTCGCTCATTTCAGTCCACTCCGAAGCGCTGAAGAAATGCTCCTGACGATAGAGGCGATGGTAACAGCGATGATGGCGATGACGGTGGCGAAAACTGTTAGTTGTTCGACGAGAGAGCGGCCGTCAAAGAGCGTCGGATGGGAGAAGAGCGGATTCACCTTCTCATTCTCCCGTATTCGGATGTTTTGGATTTTTTCCAGGGTGACTTTTCCGGCGAGTTGCAGAATTGCGTTCAGCGGGGTGCCAAACAACTCGTAAGAGTCCGGACTGAGCGAGACAAATTAGAAGTCAGTCAAGAAGCGATAAATCGATGGGAATTCTCCTCGTCGTTCCTCGGGAGAGTGAAAGAGAAACGAGAATTTCAAAGCTCGCGTCATTCTTCTCGATATTCTAATTCGAAGCGAATCTGTTTAATCAGCAGCGTCCGAATAGAGGAACTCGTTTTGAAAGGCTCGAACACGCTCTGACTCGACGCCTCTTCTGCATTTTCTTTTGCTTGTCTATCGCTGGAGGAAAACTTCTCCTCTTCGAGTACAAGCGAGTGAAGTCCTATATATGTTGAAGTGAACGGAAGATCCAGAGCCTGGAGTACCGTTGAGTCGGAGCAGAGGGGAAACTCCGAGAAAAAACAGGCGGGCCGAAATCCAATGATTTTCGGAGAAATGGAAGAATAATCCATTAGGAATCATAACTCATTCTCGGACAGTCTTCGGGTGAGGGAGGCCGACAATTATTTCCCTAGTAAATACTCTCCTGTCCAAAGTCATTTCTATTGGCTCCGACCGATGCGATGTCACAATACTCGACTCGGGGATACCGAATGCTCGTGCCAAGACCACGGATGTAGGGAACGGGTATCTGAATACTGCAGTGATTCCTAGCGAAGATCGAGAATCACAAACCGGTACGGCAGTTGTCTAAAAGGCTCATCGACGGTCAGTTTGATCGGGCGGCAGGCCAGAAATCTCATATTCCTTCGCCGACACCGGTAGCGATGGCGGAGTCGTTACATGAGCGAGTGAGCGAGGAATTATATCCAGAGCTTCCGTTGGCTGCCGCCCAGACAACGGAGTCACACAGTCGTTATAGTCCTCTGCTCCGAGGACAAGTTATCTCCAGACTGCCAACGGGCCGGATGATTTTCTGCTCGCGGAGATGCGGCGAGTTGCCGGCTTCCCTTCGGAATGAACGGCTACAGGAGGAGTTTCAATTCTCCATTGCATCCCTCACTGATTCGTATTCCGCTACCGGATGCTTCCAGAAGCGGCCAATAACGATGGCGAACAGAGAGTTGAAGCCTTGACCATTGCGAACGATAAGGCTCACGGTTGACGCTTCGGAAGCGAACTCATTTTGTCGGCTGATTTTCCCTCGAATGCGAGCGGAAAAGAGACCCTCAGCTCTTCCCAGAGCCAGGCTGTCGGAGAATCGGAACTGGATTGGAGAGCTCGAGGAGCATTGTGTCTAGAATCGAGCGAGAGTCACAGAGACCGCCTCAAATTTATTTTTATTCGTCCAGTTGTCTCTCCGTATTTCTCGAAACTCCATCCACTCAATCAAGCGACAACGAGATGGCGCGATCGCTCACAGTCCTCGTTGTCTGTGCTTAGGTAAGCGTCATAGTTTCTCAAATTAATGGTGGTCGCCTCGCTCGGAAAGCTTCAGTGTCTCGTTTCCGTCCATTCAATCCTCCTGTGCTGCTCTTCCTTTGATGCCAAGAAGCTTCTTGAAAGAAAAGAAGGGGAAGAAAAGGCCATCAGATTGGAAAGTAGGCTGCACGCGAGTTCCACCCGCGGGAAATACGCGGGAAAGAGTACTTCATCAATGTCGTTCCGGCCTTCTCATACTCGAGGTCGAGACGAGAACTCAGGTCCGACTTCGGCGCTCCAATCCGATGACGATGACTCGAATCTCAAAAATCTCGAGCTTCATCAAGGACGAGATCGAGGACGATCATCCATGAGAGATCTCACGAGATATTCGAATACTTTGAGTTTCGATCCTGGTCGCTTTTTCGCACGGGAAACGCGCCGGCTCAATTGTTCCCCCGATTTTCGTCTTCTGGACCAAAGGAAAAAATTTGACGCACTTCGCCCGCTTCCCTCGGCGCGTTCGTCGCCACCGAAGGTATTACGACAGCAGGCGACATAAAATACGGAGTGCTTTCTAATTGCCACCAGCATCGAAAAGAAAACACCTCGTGTCTCGAAGATATCCACAAGACAGCAAACCGCACGAAGCCGATACATAAATTGATGCCCGGTACGAACACCGACGGACAGAAGTATCGATAAAAGATGCGCGATTAGTAGACGATCGACGCCGGAGTGAGCATTGAGATACATTCGGACTATCAACCGTTCTCAAAGCAGGCAGCTTCGGGACTCTCGAAATACGCCTACGAGATGTCGCGTCGTATCAATTGGACTCGAGTGTTAGACCCGAGGAAAACCCCTCCAGCGCTCATATTCTTAAATCACGGAATTTTCTCACGTAGATATCGCTGTTTGTGTGTCGTAAGAAAACAGTTCTCGGGTCTCGCCGTATCGGCTGATAAGCAGATTCGGATGACAGATGAAGTCCGTTGATAGATCGGCGTTAAACGGGATAGGGGAGAAGACGGAGACACCTCCGGAGACGCTCGTGATGCTCAAGTCGGGTAGACAATCGGAGTTGAGCAATGCTGGGAGGCCACCCGCCCCCTTGACTGACTGAGATAGATCCGTGAATCTGGAAGCTTTCTACGGAGCTCACTCTCTTGCTCTGACTAGCTACCTGAATGATGCCAGACCGACAGACTTCTTTGACTGACGAAGTGACTGACTGACGATTCAGTGGGTTTGTGGTCGGCAGGCGAAGCGAGTCGAATGTTTGATTGAAGATTCGCTGATGATATGATCCCGCAGACAATGCCCCGCACCACAAGGTCTAAAACGAAACGACAGAGAACAACAGAAGCAAACGAGACCAAGAAACACAGCGAGTTTCGGATGTCGGAGAAACGAGCTCTGTGTTCCCGCCTCGATTTGGGGATAAGCGACCCTAGGCTGCAGCGCTCTCGCGCCCTACGGTCCTTCTGGTCACTCGGAACGAAATGGGGTGGGCCTGCGGGAGAATTGGAGCCAGTGACCCTAGCTTCGCCGACTGCATTCGTATTCTTTTCGCGTTCAGATATGGAAAGCTCGTTTGAGACTATGCAATCGGAGAAGAATCCAGGAATCCCTCAGCTGCTCGGCAGGAGGAGTTCTCCATCTAGACTCTTCTCCTTCTGTCCGAAGATTTCTCTCGGAATCGAAGGTGAAAACTCTAAGATTCTTCCACGATGGGAGACACTCCCGGGCCTCCGATGATGTCTCGCAGCGGCAGATGGATACATCGGCTCGTCGGCCCATAAAACTATCCCACTTCACCCATCTGGAACTCACGGGAAGATAGGGCTTATGCCCACGATTTTTCCCTGTTCGGACAGATCGCAGGATATTCGTCGCCTCGTAGCATGTTTGGGCATTATCCTAATTCGTGATTTTTCGTTCCGACCCCGAGTGGAAAACGGTCCGTCTGCGGTAAGCTCTCCAAAAACTCGTTTCTGGATTTCGCGCGGGCAGAGATTGAACGACTGCGGACGAATAGATCGGGCCTGTAAGGACTCTAAAGAAATGCGTGTCGCGATTTAGAATTTTTTATCCACGCTTATCCCAAGACTTCCGAATCAGCGAGTTTCCAGAATAATCGATTTCACGCTCCCGGACTGCAGAACCTTGCCGAGAGGCGGCACGCCCATAACCTGGGTTTACCTACGTTGGAAACCGCGCATGAGGAAATGGCAGGGCGCCCGTTTCAAATGTTCGGGCTCCACCTGAGCGTCTCTTGTCCCGAGAACACAAACCTCCGTCGGAATCAACCTCCCGCTTGAACACTTGCGACTCCAGCACATCCGTAAATCGAGATCGTTATCCCTGATTGAGTGACTCCGTGAGCGAGGCGAGTCTACGACCTGTTTCCTCTATCTACTCGAACCGAAGAGGGAGAGACTAGGAATTAAAAAAATCACCCATATAATGACTTGCCGCTCGCCGATTCATGCATCGCTGGCCAAGTACACGAGTGTACGAGGACACGGGAGCGTTCGGAAAAATATTCCAGCGATCGAATGATTCCTTGATGAGCTTAATTATAGATTGCGTTTAATAGAATATCGCGAAAATTACCGGGGAGACGAGTCTCCAGAACGTTCAGCGTGCATTCAGCAAGCTCCGATTAGAACAGCCTGCGAGCGTCGGAGCCCGTCATTGAGAGTCGCATATTGCGGTCAGCAGCTCCAAAGTCCAATTATCCAGCTCCAAAGCACTTCCAGAATCCATCGCATTCCCGAAGGCTTCGTGGCTCAGATCGTGAAGCTTCGTGTTGAAGCTTCATCTCCCCATCTGAATGTGTCCAATCGAGAAAATAAAGGGCTGAATGATAAGAAGCATTCGAATGAGCTTCACAGAGCGAAAGAGAAAGGAAAATCCACCGTTTATAGATGCGGAGGCAAACGTCATTGGCAATCGTCAAAGAATGCCACGAGGAGTCTTTTGTTTGCT